GAAAGGTTTTCCTAGTTATTTAGGGTCTAGATTTATAGCGTGTTTTTTCATCTCCTTGGCTTTTTCTGCCTCTTTCTCTTATACTCAATATTTCAGAACAGGGATTTGGATAAGTTACATGCACATGTTCATGTGGTCAAATATGTGTTTAAATCTTTTGACCAGATAATATTCATTATTTAAAACTCAGCCCACCCAGCATGGCTCAGTGGTTGAGCATGGACCTATGAACCAAGAGGTCACAGCTTGATTCTATATATTTTTTTAAAAATTCATTTATTAAGGAGTAAAATAAAGTAGCATTAATTAGATAAAGAAACATATGCTGACTATACTTACCAAAACATCAGAAAGCATCTCATCAAAATCAGGAGAAAATGCCCTCTAAAGCTTGTATTATAATTCTCTCTGATTCCAGATCTCTAGAGGCTGGACATGGGAATAGGTGTTTTACCCCCAAAAAGACAAACAAAACATTTCCACTAATTTGTATTATTCGATTTTGTTTTGGAAATTTTAGCCAATTCACTGAGCAATAAAAAGAATTAAAAGGTATAAACATTAAGAAGAAAAGCAAAGCAAATATTTTTGCAGACATGATTATGCACTCAGGAAAATCAAAGAAAACTGAAGAACTTTTGAAACCAATAACAGGAATTTGTAGGGTCTTTATTATAAGAGAAGAAAGTTTTATACATCAGAAAATGTAATGATGGGTCATATAGTGTTGGGATTTTAAAGAAAAAAGACAAAAAATATATTTAAATGTTAACAGCCCTCTCTCTTGTTTTTGTTTCATTTTTCATTGTATCTTACAAATTCTCCACAGTGAATATTTTAAAATATTATTTTGAAAAGAGCTATTAGGATTGACATTTGTAATTATTTACTTTCCATTACTTTTTAGCAATTAATAAATTTATTTTCTTTATAAATTCATAAACAGATTTTCTGCCTCCATGGTGGCCTCTCTCCATCCATTGATACACTGGATCATATAAGGGCCCTGGATCGTTTACAAGAAGTTCCACATGAGGTAAACTTACTTTAAATTAAAAGAAAAAGAAGCATAACCACATTGTAGTAAAGCTTAATTAGTTAAATATGAGTGCTAATAATTTATAATAAGTACCTAATTTTTTTGGCCAGGGCCCGATGTGTGATCTGTTATGGTCAGATCCAGATGATCGTGGTGGATGGGGTATTTCACCACGTGGTGCTGGCTATACGTTTGGACAAGACATTTCTGAAACATTCAATCATGCCAATGGTCTCACACTGGTTTCTCGCGCTCACCAACTTGTAATGGAGGTATGTCCTTTTCCTACAGGATGGCGATCTTTGTTTCTGATAAATACATATGTCTGTAATAAAGCCTTCATAACTTGGAATAGTAGGAACATTCCTCACCGTTATCTAAGTGAAAGGAGGAAAACCTTGGCCTGCTTTAGCAAGTAAGGAAAGTACTAGTTTGCTAAAGCAAAATTGTAACTCACTTTGAAGTCAGAGTCCTCAAATATGAGTATTTTAATACTTGCTTTATTATTCAGTTTCTTTCTTCTTCCCCCCTTCCCTGCACACGTTACATTATTTTGACTGTTTTAATGTCAGTTGCAGACATGATGCTCATTTGCCCCCAAATTTCCATGTGTATTTATAAAAATAAGGACTTTGTCTTACATAACCACAGTATACTTGTCACAGTCAATAAATTTGCATTGATCTAATATTTTTATCTAACCTAAACACTTCATTCAAATTTTAATTATCTCACTAATGGCCTTTAGTTGAATATGTATATCTAAAATCTAATTCAGGATGGTGCTGCATTCAGACTTTCTTTGTTTTATATAATCTTGACATTTTTTAAAAGTACAAGCAATTTTATTTTGTGTAAGTAGTTTTCATTTGTGATTTAACTGATGCTTCCTTATGGTTATAGATTCAGGATATGCATTTTGGTGGGTATGCCACATACTGATGTGTGCTTTTCAGTGTATCATACAGCGGTAATGAAATTTATCCCAGTGCTGGTAGTTTTAACTTAGATCACTTAGTTAAGGTGATGCCTGCCAGATTTCTCTACTATGATGTTACTATTTTGCAAATACTAAAGGAATATAAATAGAATATAATACTTCCAAACCAGTAGGAGCAGCTTTAAAATGTAAGAGAAAACTTCACAAACCCAATAAAGCAAGAGGAGGAGTGAGAGCATAATAAAGAACCTCAATTCTTATGCTGAGGATAAATCTAATTATATCAGTAGTTATATACAGTGTTAAATGGATGAAAATTTTTCTTAGAAGACTCAAATTAGATAATCAAAATTCAGCTATTGGGATTTATGTAAAATACTAGATTCATGCAATAGGCCTTGCCTTCCCTTCCCCTGGCTGCCTGCACCAGTTTTCCTTCGGCACCGGGGACCCAGGCCTTCGCTCCAGCCAGAGCCGCCTTCAAAGCCTTCACTGCTCTGGCCGGAGCTGCCTTCAGTCTTCACTCTGCTGCTTGGCGCCTACATATGCAAGTTAACCGCCATCTTTGTTGGTGGTTAATTTGCATATCTTGCTGATTAGCCTATGGGAAGCGTAGCAGAGGTACAGTCAATTACCCTGTTTGTCTATTATTAGATAGGATAATGATTAGAAGTAGAGGGATGGAAAATGGTTTATTGGTATACTAATTAGATAATTATCCAATATACAGCTAATCAGAATAGGTTCTAAAATAAAAAGTGTAATGAGAAATGAAAACAGGTTATTAGAGAAAACTGTCCCAGTTCTCTAGGAAGAAATAATTCTAAATTTTTAAGTACTTATTTAATAGACTCAAAATATATAAAGCAAAATTTGACATAATTTACAAGGAAACTCATATGGTGGGAGAAATTGAGTACACATCATAGCCAAGATTGCAAGCATAGATTAAGCCAGAACAGTGCATTTACTAAGCTCCATGTAACAATAAAACCCAGTTACCCAACAGTTGCGTATTCGTGCAGGTGCACAATATTAATGAAGGATACTATATAAAGTAACTTAGAAGACTGCATTTCCACAGAAAATACTTGTAATTTCTAAGTTTAACCTTCTCTGTGTTGAGATTATAATTTTATAGTGAAATACTGATTTTTTTTTTAATGCAGGGATACAATTGGTGTCATGATCGGAATGTGGTTACCATTTTCAGTGCACCCAATTACTGTTACCGTTGTGGGAACCAGGCTGCTATCATGGAATTAGATGACACTTTAAAATATTCCTTGTAAGTTACCTTAAACTTTAATTGTATATGATCACTTTTAGGAGGAAAATTGAAAATGTGACATAGGATTTCTGCTTCTGGAATAATGAAGATAGCAAACTATCTCCCCAATAAAAACAACTACTTAGCTAGAGAACATTATTTTATTTTAAACAGGTATTTCAAATTTTTGGAAACTGTTCTAAGTATATACAACAGATAAAGAAATACTTATTCTAGAAAATCTAAATCTGGGTAATAACAGCCAGAGTTTGTGGAATTTGAGCCACGACTCATTCCCTAGTCCTGGATCACGTGTATGGAAACTGCGCTAGGCACTCTGCTCTTCGTGGGTGTGGACAAAGAGATGGGGGCTTTTCCCCTTCCCTAGCTCCAGTTTCAGGGATATGGTTTCATCCCCAGGGGGGCATATGCCAGTATATCACACCTACCTCAGGCCTGGGTTTCAGACGCTCTATTCCGGAAGGGTGCAGTCAAGCCAGCGAGATTCCCTTCCCCTCTCTAGCTCTTAGGATGGAAATTCCCTCCCGGCATGCATGGCAAGCAGTGTTATTTCCCAGCTCCTGCTCATAGAATAGGAGTGGCACTAGAAAGTAGGTGAAGGGTGATCACCAGGTACAAACTTCTAGTTATAAAGTAAATAAGTTATGAGGGTGTGTAGTGTATACCACAGTGACTAGTTAATACTGAACTATATATGTGAAAGATGCTAGGAAAATAGATCTTCAAAGCTGTCATCACACAAAAAAACAACCTTGTAACTGTGCACACTAGCTTCAGAAAAATATATA